GGGATGTGAATCCATCTTTGATGCAGAGGAGGGGCACCTGGGTTGGCTCAGAGTTTCCTGTCATCCTGAGAGTACTCGGAGTCAACTGCAAGAAAGAAAACCAGACACCATATCTGAGTAGTGTGGCACATGGCCCCAGCCCCGACGATCCCTCTACTCACTGGCACCGAGGCAGGTCCTCATGTCACTGGCTCTTACCAGACTTGGACAATGTGCTGTCATCTTCTGAGATACCTGAGCGAGAGAGAGAAACAATTAGAGGGCATTTCTAAAGCTGCAGTGGATCCCTGCTCCTCCTGCCTCCCCCCCGACTCACCTCCAATGCTCATCTGCTCCCAAAGGTTACCCGGATGGCACCTGCAATCAGAAAAGCTCAGTGCTTCATTGCTGATCCTTTTAATACTCAGAGATTACCTACAAGGACAGCTCCAGGGGACCAAACCGTGTCCATCTCCTCATTGTGAGTTGGCTTCGGCCCTGTCAGGCTGTCTACATCTCCTGCAAAAAAAACCCCAGAGGCAAATGTGAGTACTGAGATACTGCCCAAGAGTTTGCTGCCCCCACGGCAGTTTCTGTCTGCCACCCCTTGACCGTGACCTCTTACAGGCAGGGTCCCCATCACATTGGACTGTACGTCAGAAGTCAGTGCACTGCCTGGAAAACAAAAAAAACAAGTATGTACACAGATTCACCACAAGTACACCGCCTGCAAAAAAGCATCTAATTTTGTCCTGCAGTCCCTGCTCACCTTCCTCACCAGGCTCACCTTCCCTCTAGTGCCTATTGTCTGCTGGGCCGGTGGCTCTGCATCTTGAAAAAAAAAACAAAAAAACAAAACTAAACCACCAAACCATCCAAATGATCAAGTAAACCTAGGACCAAAAGTCATGTCTTGGCTCTGACCTCACATGAGAGCCCACCTTCTGACTCTGCTCCTCCAGCCTCTTCTGTTTATCTCTGCTTTACATCCAGTCCCTCTGACGTTGCATAGAAATGAGTTACCAAAGTCAGCCATATAGATGGAGGGACCTTAACTGCTGTGCAATTCTAATTTCTCCTTAGACAAGCCATCTGGGGTCCAAAGACAGCCTGCACAAACAAACACTGACCTAACTTTAAGG